TGCATACCCTGGAGCTGGAGTTAAATGCAATTGTGAGCCACCTGACATGGGTACTAGGAAGTGAACTCTTGGATCCTCTGAAAGAGCAGTAAGTGTTCATACTACTGTGTCGTCTTTCATAGCCTCAGAGTGATGGTTTTGTTGAGTGATCCCCAAGTGCCAGACACTCTACAAAGGAGGCCTTTCCTTGCCTCTCCCTGCAGTACAGGCAGCAAGATTCCTCAGCCCCGGATTCCAGGTGAGGTAACCTAGACAGAAAAAAAGAGAAAACTCAAAGAGGTCCTTGGGGCTGTGTTTTCCATGAGCACACAATCTTCCTGTCCTGAGGGTGAATGGTGCAGGGCAGAGATAATCTGTTTTATTTGTAAGCAATTTACAGCTTTTTTGTGTCTTTTGGCCTTGAAAATTGAATTGTACCTCCTTTCTATGTTTTCTGCCTCACCCTCTTCCTCAGCTCACTCCTCTTTATATTATTTGCTTACTTATTTTTATTTCATATGTATGCATGTTTTACCTGTATGTTCTGTGCACCATGTGTGTGCAACGCCTGTGGAGGCTGGAAAAGTATTGAATCTCCTGGAACTAGAGTGAGAGATGGTTGTTAGCCATCATGTGGGTGCTAGGAACCAATCTGTGTCAGTTGCAAGAACAGCCAGTGCTCTTAACTACTGTACCATCTCTCCAGCCCCAACTCACTCTTTCTTGACAAGAGTATATTTAAGTCTCCTGCACCCTTGACACGGGTGCTGTTCAGCCTTGCTTCCTTTTATAGGTACTACATGCTCTTTCCCTGTCCCACTTTCTTCCTTCATGAGCCTCCTTGCTGGTGTAGCCTGCTCTATTCTGTCGGGCCATGTCCAGAAGAGGCTGCTAGGGACCTCCCAGTTACTGGTTTCCACAGGAATGAGGTGGTTCTCCCATTCAGCTTCACTCATTCATTCAGCAAATGTAACTAAGTCCTATCATGAGCTTAGGATGATGGAGTACACTAGGCACTAGAGAGGAAACCTTTAAACAAAGTATTAAAGCGCCCTTTGTGCTCACTAGTTTTATGGCAGCTTGACACAAGCTGAGATTGTCTCAAAGGAGGGAACCTCAATTGAGAGAATGACCCAGTAAGATCTGGCTGTAAGGCATTTTCTTAATTAGTGATTGATGGGGAAGGGTCCAGCCCATTGTGGACGGTGCTATCCCTGGGCTGGTGGTCCTGGGTTCTATAAGAAAGTGGGGTGAACAAGTCACGGAGAGCAAGCCAATAAGCAACACCCCTCCATGGCCTCTGCATAAGCTCCTGCCTCCAGATTTCTGCCCTGCTTGAGTTCCTGCCTTGACTTCCATCAATAATGTGGAAGTACAAGCCACATCAACCCTCTCCTCTCCTACTTGCCTTTGATCATGGTGTTTCATTACAGCATTGGAACCTCTAACTAACATATCCTTCTTTCATGGATCCTGCATCCAAATGAGTGTCAGACAATTAACAAGCACAAAAATCGTCAGTGTAATGGAAAAGAGACAGGTTAAGCGGAGGGAGGTGTGTGTGTTATTATGGGAGAGGCATACTGTTTGGGTCATCCATGAGAAAGTAAGATTTAAGTTTCAAACTGAGGTGAAGAGTGGAAGGAGGGCAGCATGCATATTGGGGTGGAGGGTTTTAGGCATGAGAGTAGCAGGTGTTAAGGTCCCAAGGTAACAGTGCACTGGGCATCTTCAAGGAGTACCAGGGAGGCCAGTGTTTCTGGGAAGGAAGGGAGTCAGAGTAGATGAGACCAGAATTAACAAGGGGCTGGTCATGCTACCTTGGAGGCTGGAGTAAGGAAGTTTGGCTGTTCTGAGCATGAAGGGAAGGAACCCAAAAGTTAGAGCAAAGAAATGATTGATCTGATTTAGATTTAAAAATATTGCCTTGTATCCAGGTGGCGGTGGCATATACCTTTAATTCCAGAACTTGGGAGGCAGAGGTAGGTGGATCTCAGTGAGTTCCATGCCAGCCTGATCTATAAAGTGAGTTCCAGGACAGCCAGGATTGTTACACAAAGAAATCCTGTCTCAAACAACAACAACAACCAACCAAACAAACAAACAGAAAGTGCCTTGCTACCAGTAGAGATTAACTAAAGGGGGATAGAGGGATAAGTGGCCACGCCCCCTCTGCAGCACTTGGCTTTTGAGCTTTCTTGTGGCACTTACATGCTGCCTGCCTCTCACCATGCCTAATCCTCTGAAATGATTTCTCTTCTGCCTTCCCTTCCATGGATATGGAATTGGGCTGTTGGCTCTTTCCACGGTACTGAAGTCCACTATGCAAGAATGTAAGTACTCCTGTGCATCCAGAACCCATCTGTCCCCGACCTATCAGCTCTCAGTTCACTCAGGGCGGCTGCATGCCAGATGGGTTTATCCAGCTGTTTTCTGGAATTCCCCACTTAATTTTTCAGGCTCTAGTTAATCAAGGGTAATAAAATTTCTGAAGGCAAAACTATGGATAAGGAGGGTTACTGTGTATTGTGGCTGAGGGTTTACAAGACAAGGGACTCCTGAGGAGAGTCAAGAACAAAAGCTGTGGCTACGGTACCAGCAGTGGCAGGGAAAGCCATCACCTGGCAAGGAGGTTCTACCCCCTGAAGCCCGGCTTCCAGTGTTACCTGCACCCGAGTGAGCTCTAATATCTTAGGCCAATTACTTACCTTGCTGGCTAAGCCTCGAATGTCAGTTACAAAATGGAGAGAGAACTGTTTATCCCCGGGGATGTTCTAAGGACTGGAGTTACTAAAATGTGTCCCAGCAGGATGCCTGGCACAAACAAGCTCCAGAAACAGATGCAGACAAGAATGGAACGTGAAGGACCTGTGCAAGTGGGGCAAAGAATTCCACCCGGATGTCTGGCAGAAGCCTGTTGAAAGAGCTGGTCCTCTAAGGAGAGCTTATAGGTAGAGATAGAAAGAAATCCATGCATAAGGCCATCTAAACAAAGGCCTCTGAGACATTTTGTTCTTGTGTTTTTTGTTTTTTTTTTTTCCTTTGCCATATTGCTCAGGAGCAAGACAACAGAGAAAAGCTGATTCCCAATGCCTGGCACAGTTCTCTGCAGGTCCTAGGAACCTACCTAGTCTCTGAGCGGGGGATGTATACTCAGTGAACTGGGAAGTGTGTATGCCTTCTCCGACCTCTACCCTCTACCTCTCATCACCTTTGCCATGCCCTCGGCAGCACCCTCTTTTCACAGACCAGGAGTAGGAGGCTGAGAAGCATGCAAGAATATCTTACAGCTGACATGGGAGGAAGCATGAAGATTTGCAACAATGTGATACTCAACCCTCCAGGGCTAGGCTACAACAGTTTCAGGGATAAACTTTCCAGAAGTCTCCTCAGGTAGACTGAGCGATTCATGCCTAGCACCCATAAAGACAAAATTCTTAGTGGTTTCTGCAGAATACAGGGACGGACTATGCAGCTACAGTCAGTGGTTCTTGAGGGCCCAGAGTGGTCTTGCCCAGGGTTAACCAGCTCCCACAAAACCAGAGTGTCCAGGCAATCTGCAGTGCTCTTCTAGGCCTGGCTGAGTTGCCAAGTTAATACGACTGCCTGGTTGTAACACGACACAAAATGAACTCTTCCCAAAACAAAATTTTTTAAAAAAGCAAAACATTCCAATCAGGGGGAAGAAGCTGTGGGTGCATATTAAGCTATCTGACACCGTGTGTGTAATATCTTTTCAATGCCAGGCAACCTGTTAGCTTCCTAACACGCATATTCTGGGATGTTTGAAAATATGGTCCTGCACTTAACAAATGGTTCTGTGGGCATGCTGGAGGGGAACTCCCATCTTAGGTGGGTGTCTAGCTTTTAAAACTTTCTTCTCCCTGTCAATCCAGTCCTGGGCTGGCTAACAGAGTGAGTCATTTCAACCCTGTCCGTTCCTGCCTCACTGGGACAGAGTCCTCAGCTGGATGCAATTGCTTCATGTGGCTAGCTCCCCATGTGGTCTTGTTCCCAGACTGACTCACAAACTTGGCATACCCAAGTCTGTCTAGATCATTTCACCCATCTTATTGTAGGGAATGCTGAGGCCTAGAATGCTGGTCTAAGATATGGGTGGGAGGTCATTTCATTTGGGGCTGTAGCATTCTTGGGTGTGCTGTTCATGGGGTCAATGTGCAGTGATGAAGTTGCTTCTGTATTTTGGGAAGCGCCAAGAACCAGACATCAGAGAATGTTTCTCTGACGGAGGAGAAACACTCACTTTTCTAGGCTTCTGAGCAAATGGAGGTGCCTGTCTGTCTCTGTTCTCTCTTCTGGGCTTTGTAGAGAAACAGGCACAGATACCAGGTGCCTACCATAGGGCTCTTTCTATAAGGTCTAGGTCATCCTGAGCTCTCCCACCCTGTATAATTCTCTGCCCTTGGGCTTAAGGTCAGAGACAGGGGACTCACTAGAACAGAGGAAATCCCCACTGGACATGAGCTTTGTAATCTGCTTGCTGATCTTGGCTGGGTAACCCGTTAGGTCATTTTAATTTTCCTGAAGCTTTTGACTTTTCTTGGATCCTTAATCAGATAAGGGGATCTGTGGTGTGTGTGTGTGTGTGTGTGTGTGTGTGTGTGTGTGTGTGTGTGTGTGCGCGCGTGCCTGTGTGCCTGTGTGCCTGTGTGCCTGTGTGCCTGTGTGCCTGTGTTCATTTACACTGGGGCTGGCTCACCTTCTCTCCTCCCCTTCCCTCCTCTTTCCCTTGATCTCCTCTCTCTCTCTCTCTCTCTCTCTCTCTCTCTCTCTCTCTCTCTAATCATTTCCATCTCTTCCAGAATGCTTAATGGAGTTTGGAGACAGAGGAAGGAGGGCTTCATATCCAAGCAGGAGACAGCTCTCTCTCCCTCTTTCCCTCTCTAGCAAAGTGCATTTGGCATAGGAGAGAGTGCATCTTGGGGGAGGGGAGAACTCCTCCATTTGGAAATGGACATTTTTGACACCCCCTCAGCTATGTTGTCATTGGTCCCACCTACCTGGAGAGGCCAGTGCAGTCTGCAGTCACGGTGGCAAACCAGCTTCAGACTGAGGAGAGTGAATGCATGGAGAAGCATAATTAGAAGAGGAGGGATGCTGGTGGCTGTGGGGCTCAGGCAATGCCCAGCAAGAAGGAGCCCAGGAGGGAGCCTCTAATAGCTCATCCCTGATACTTTTTGAAAAGCTATGGTCTTCCCTTCCAGCCTATCTGCCTGGCAAAGTGCAGCCCAGCTGGTGGCAGCAGCCTACTGCCCAGAGAGTGTGCCCAGCCCCCTTTGTTTTGGAGAGCTCCAAGCTACTGGGGTAGTGGGCATTCTTCTCAGGCCCAGGGTGTGGGGGTGGGGTGTATCCTAGTCGGGGGAGGGGAAATCCTCACAGCAGAAGGAGTAGGGATGTTGAATACTTTCCTGGCAGACCCCTTCCTGGCCCTCATTGTGCCAAGTATAGTGGTCTGTACACAGTAGATATTTGATTAATACTCATGGTTTTGAACTGAATTTTCTGATGATGGCTCTGGATGGGATCCATCACCTTCTAGCCATTCCAGTTCTGGAACCCATGAGCTCGTGTGCTACTCTGGTTCAGGAATGAGGGACTCTGATGGAGGCATAGGAGCATTTAAATCACAGGTTCTGCCTCAGCCCCGAGGCTGTATAGAGTAAGAGGGGAACACAGATGTGACAGGGACAGCTCAACACCTGCTTTTATCTTCTAGAAAGAACCACAAGACGGCCGCCCTCTATGGGGGCAACAAGGATGTTGCCTGACCCCACCTACAAGTAGAGTGTCCTAAAACCTGGGGAAAGACTTGTCTATGGCCTTATGGCAACCAGGAACAGGGTTGGGAGGCAAAGGGCTGGTGACTCCCAGAACAGTGCTCTCTCAATGATAGCAGTGTGCGGTGTCTGGACAGTGAAGACCTGGAGAGAGCCACTGTCCTGGTACAAAGGAGCACCAGGCATGCTTGGACAGAGAGATCAGATGGAAAGCACGCTTAGGATTTTGAAAAAGAAGTCACCCTGTCCACTCCATTTACATCTTCTAGCTTTAAGACAGGCTCACCCATTCATTTGTTTACTCATTCACTCATTTATTCGTCCAGACACTGCTTTGTGAGCACAGGAGTAGGGACCACCGAGTCCATGCTAGAAGGAACGGATGATCTGCCACCCCAGGTTACCCATTTCTGTCCCCTGACTCCAGGCTCTGGCTCATTGCCTTGGATATGTGCCCTCTAGACAATATTCCTGCTTCTTCAGCTCCCTAGAGACCCTTCCAGAACTCTGTGGTCAGCACCTCTTACCTGGCCCAGCTTTTCCAGTGGAGCCAGAACCCTCCTTCTGGGGTACAGCTACAGGAAGCACACAGTCAGCACATGGGGCTTCCTCATGGGCCATGGTGCTAGCAGGGTTCCTTGGCTTGATGTCCTGACTCTGGCTCTCCTGTAGCCTGTGCCTTGTTCAGCAGGCTCAGCCACACTGAGAACATGACTGATCCGTATGTCTCTGGGGAGGAGTATGGGAATGAGCTCAGCTGACTTCTGGTCAGGCTGTGGCCACTAACCACCACTCCGCACTTCTGTAATGAATGGCCTGCCGGAACTTCTGCTTGGAAGCTACTTCCTTTGGGATAAAGACTCTTTCAGGAAGAGAGAGGGGGGGTCCTGTCTCTCATTCCATTTCCTAACTCTATACTGCCACCCCACCCTACACCTACCTGACCAGACCCTGGCATTCCTCTACCCTGCTCTGTGTCCATATGCATCTCCTCGGAGCCACAGCTAGGCCTAAGGAGCTGTCATGTCTCTGTGATGCCTTCAGCTCTAGGGAGAACAGCCAAGAGGAAAGGAATCTGTCTTTAGACACTCAAGGAATCCCCTGAGCTGAAACAGAACTGCAGCAAGGCTGGTGAAGTGGTTACACACCACCCATAACGTCATCTCTCCCTAGGGGCAGGAAGGGGAAATTGACCAATCGGCCAAGGAATCAGAGGGAGGCTGGGAGTCTCTGAGCCAAGAGGCAGCCCTGGTCCCTTTAGCATCGTCTCCTCGACGCTGCCCTTCCCCCTTGTAGGATTTACTCTGCTTCGATCATCTGAGGACCAAGTGGAAAACAGCCTGGCCCTTAGGGGAAGGCATGGTTTTGCTCCTTTCTCCGCCTGCTAATGGAACCAGCAACCATATGTGGCTGGCCGGACCTTCCATGATGACCAGAGGTGGAGCCTAGCCAGGGAGAGGACTTTACTTAGCTCTGTTTCCCACAGGGCCCAGAACTGATATCACACAGGGAGTGCAGAGAGATGGAGCAATTGATCTGGAGGTGGGGACTTGAGTGTAATAATCACAGCTTCCATTTATCGAGCTCCTCCTGTGAGCCAGGCAGTATGCCGGTCTTTCTAGTGGCATTATCTCATTTAATTCTTTCACTAACCCCAGGAGGCACATAGCAATTGCTGTCATCTTACTTTATGGGAACTGAAACTCAGAGAGGTTAAGTGACTGGCTCCCAGTCACACAGCTGGCAAGAGAGAAGAGCTGGGGACTGAAGTAAAACTGTCCTGTGTTCTTTCTTAATGCTAAGAGGAAGGCCCCAAGGATGGACAGATGCGATGTCACACCCACAGCACAATGCCTTACACTTAATTCTGCCTGGAGCAGGTGAGAAAAGCAGGCAGGAAGACAGCTTATCCACATGTCACCCTCTTTCCAGTGGAGTGGAACTCGCCAGCAGGAGAAACCACTGGGATGTTGGTGGAGGGGAGCTCTTGGGTTAAACTATGGGTCTTGGGGGTATATCTCCCATCTCGTGATGCTTCTTGAGTCACTGGTATCCTCTTCTTATGACTACAGAGTATAAATTGTTTGTGTCTGGCCTGAACTGGGTTGATCTCAAAGCTTGGAGGACCCTGGGAAGACTCTCCATGCCTAACAGGTGAAATGGATGAGGCTGGAAACACCCTTTAGGCTGACCACAAGAGTTCCATCCATGGAAGGATGGAACAGGTCACAGGAGCAGAATAAGATTGCAGAGTCCTGAAGAAAATCAAACTCTCAGAGAGGGCTCAGGATAGCTGTGTGAAAGGGCTCCATGGTGCAATATTCTGCCTTTAGTAGGTGTTCAATACGCTACAGGCCAAAGACAACCCTTCCTCCAGAGGACATATTATTCTTTGGAAACACAGAAGCACAAGGAAGAAACAGGCACATCTTCTGAGTATCTGCTATCTGCCAGGCTCTGTGATGGGCATCTTACATATGTTAACCCAGTGAGCAAGTTGGAGAGGTTTTGTTCTTTTCTGCTTTGTTCTGATTTGTTGAGACAAGCTTGTGTATCACAAGCTGACCTTGACTTCACTAGGAAGTCAGAAATGACCTGAAACTTTTGATTTCCCTGTCTCCACAGCCTGAGTGCTGGGATTACAGGTATGTGCTACCATGCCCAGTTTATGTGGTAATGAGGATTCAATTCAGAGTTTTGTGCATAGTAGGTGAGCTCTGTAATGATGGGGTTACACCCCCAATCTCAAAGTTGTGTTTTAAAATGGGACCTGGGAAAGCTGTGTTGGATGGCCCTGAGGACCCAGTGCCTGTAGAGGGACGGGGTCTGTCTATTTCTCGGTTCTTCTGGGGCTTGAATGGAATTTGTCCTCTCCACTCTGCTTTCTGCTCCCCACATTCCAGCCTTCTGCTTTTGACTTCTCTGAGGGGATTCTCCAGCTCCCTGAGATGTGGCAACCACTCTTGCAGTCTCCCTCTGGGTCTTGTGCTGTGGGTTTCTGAGGCTTTGTCATATTTGTATCATCTGGAGGTCATGGGCTCTGGTTTAAGTTCTGGCTGACAGCTGTGGTCTGTTCGAATTGTCATGTGATCTCAGCAAGCCAATGCCCCCACTCCCCAAACTTCAATTCCAATTATGAAAAGAGACCAGCAGGCTCTGGGACTTCCCCACTCCTTCCTGGCTTGGCTGCTTTGCTCTGTGTTTTCTGACTTTGAGTCAAGCTAATCATATGGAGTTTGTGACTTCTGCCTCTACCACCTGCTAGCGCCCTGTCAGCGGGCAAGTTATTAACCTCCTTGACTCTCCATTTCCTCATCCATGAGGTAATACTCACTTGGTGCACCATTCTAAGGATTAAGTGAGATAGCGTGTGCAATTTGCACAAATGCTCAGTCTAGCACTGAGTGCTGGGCAGGTACTGCAGAGAAGTTCTGTTGATGTGTATCCTCCTCTTTCTTCTTTTCCTCTTCCTTGACTATTTCCTCCTCATCCTCCTCCTCATCACCATTATCTCAACCGCTTCCAACTAAGAGAAGAGCAGGGGACACCCCCACCTCCAGTGGAAGGTGATGAGGAAGTCACCATTCTACCTGTTCCTGGAGGAGCCATGGTCTCCTCCCATTTCTGATGTGTCTTGTGCTCAGTTCAATTGTGTTGTTTCACCCACTTTCAACTTTGTTAACACCCTTGGGTGTAAGACAGTCCCTCTAGGAGCAGGAAACTCAGGGCCACCAGACTTCAAGCTTCGGGCAACAGAGTGGTGCCAGCTATTGAGCAGAATCTTGCACGATGGGGCAGGGTGTGGCTCCTCTCCAGCCAGGTCCCTCTCAGGCAGCTGACAAAGGGCAGGTGGAATCTCTTGGGCATGACAGCCAGGCTGCCATGCTGAGGTTAGGCCATGGGCTAGAGGGCAGCCTTTGTTTCCCTGTTCTCATAGGTGGACAGGTGGGCTGGAAGATCTCCTTCCACATGGCATTCCTGAGTCCTATGGCTGAGCTGTCCTGATTCTGTCCATGTCCTCCTTTTCCTGTTATCCCCAGGGCTCCAGCCCTGGAACTCAGTATCTCATGCATGTCCTGTCACTGACTGGCATACTCAATGTACCTGGGCAACCTCTTCCAGTGTTTAGGAGGTCATGTCAGGGCCTGGGGCTGAGAGATGGGGTAGCATGCTATCATGGAGATGCCAGCTTCCCCAAAGTGAAGTTTCCTCGCCAGACCAGGCTTTCCTTGCTGGGTGTACCCTTTACCTCTCACCTGCCTCTCAGGCAGATAGTGAGGGACCGCAGCCGGGATACAGATTTCAAAGCAGGTGAGGGCCATCTGTGCCCAGGTCTGAACATCTGCCTCCACTGTGATCTGATTACGCCCATCCTCTCTCCCCTGGTGGGCGGTGTACCTGCTGCTCATGGTCTTCATTAGATTGCATTTCGGTTTTCTATTTCCTCACCCCAGGGCTGGCAGAGGGGCATCTGTATGCAAGTGAGGAGTGTCAGGTAGAAGAGGAGGGTGGAGGAGCCTGAAACCCTCTGAATAAGGTTGGAGCTGAAATCAATGGAAATTGGCAGACACCCTCACCTTTACACACACCCTTCCCAAATCCTTAAGTACATCTCAGTACCTGAAGTCCTGGCTACAGGATCCATGTGCCCTAATGTATTTATCATGGTTCCCCAGACTAAGGATGGAGTTTTAATCACATCACTGACACAGGTAAAATGAAGCATATAATTTTGGCCTTTGTGAATCCATACACGACACTCTAGTAGGCTTCTAGCTGGGGCCAGAAAACAGTAAGTATGCAAACACTCTGTGTGAATTATATTAGCCTCCCTGGACTCCTGTGAGGTGTGCACTGTTGAACTCCCATTCTCCAGAAAAGGAAACTAAGGGATGATGGGATGACTTGTCTGATATCACGGAGCCCACCAAAGGCTTCAAGCCCAACATCTGTATTTCTCTGGGCCTTTCACCCACTCTTGGCTGCTAATGGTCCCATTTCTGACACCCAAACTTCAGCTCAGCACTCCAACTTTGCCACTGTCCTTTTCAGAAAGCCAGTCCTGATTTGTCAACGGGATGACAGTCCTTTCCCTAAACTTGTGTCTTTCTTAGATTTGAAAGATCTTTGGGCTCCAGTCTGAGCTCTGCCACTCAGCTCCAGAAGATGGCTATAGGCAAATGACAGTAAGTCACTCACAGCCCTGAGTTTCCTTGTATGAAATACAGGCACAGCTTTTCTATGTTATAATTTCAGGCATCCCTACAATTATCCATGGGTTCAAGTCCCAGCTCTGGCTGTGGGAGGCTTGTATACCTGGGCCTGCTTCCTCACTATTGGAAGTAGAAATCCTTGATGATTTTCTAGTGCCACAGTCACTAAGGGACAGCAGGGCAGGGTGAGGCCTGTGCACCTGAAACCTGCTCACATGGCTTAGGTTCAAAGCTCCAGTAGGCCACTCACAACTGCATGACCTTGGAGAAATTGCTTAACCTTGCTGTGCTTCAGTTTTACAGAGATATTGACAGTAATGCTTTATGTTGTTGTGAGGGTTAAAAGGTTCCCAGAACTCTTAACATGATACTTGGCACTTTGTGGGAACACAGTAAGTACTGGACGGCTCAGTTCTGGCTTTTTGAGAATTCCATGGAAGTATGACCAAGTTCTGGGCCAGCACGGGATCTTCTCTGCTCTTCTGCCCTGAATGCTGGCCATTCCTGAAAGGCTCCATCCGTCTCTAGTGGCAGGGAACAAGCCCCATGGTCTGTCCCCTGAAGAGACTTTACTCTAAACTTGGTCCAGATTAAGGGTACCAGGCTTGGGAAGGTGGCATTGCCTCCATTTCACCAAGAGCCTTAGTTGTGGCTGCCCCCCGCCCAG